AAATAAAAATGAATACAGTTATTAAATTATTGTAAAGCTTAAAGAACCGAATAAAAAAATAAAAGAATAGAAATAGAGCAGACCAAAAATAATTTAAAATTTCAGACGGTTTCATGAATTTCTCAAAATTCCTTTTATCATTTGATTTATCGGGAAACTTTTACACATAACATAACAAGGTAAAATACCACTAATTAGTTATAGAATTAGTAAAAGACTATGGAAAGTGACTAAAAAAAAAAATCAATTAACCTGATTTGGCACTTGTAGTATGGTTTTTTGTGTAGCTGATGCTAAGCAATATGCATAATTTTGAAGAATGATGTGTTTAATGGATAATGGTTTGACATAAAGAATAATTATTTAATAAGTTAACTGTCCATTTTTTTTAGGTTTGAGTAGGATACAAAAGGTACTGAAAAGGTTCACCTTCCCATTTGTAGTTATTATAGAAAGTTGAAAAGAATTAAAATATTAAATAGGTATTCTAAAGATTGCAATAAGTATTGAAATATGAAAGCAGTTGCAACGCATTGAATAGGCTGTAGTAAGTGAGAACTGCACCTGGACAAGTATTGGTCTATTTATCTAATTTTATTTTAATACAATATTATTATTTTTTGAAAGGTAAATTTACTTTTAAGTACCAAAAATTATAAGAGTAAATGTGTAAGTTAAGGGCAAAATGGTCACTCGGCTTTTAATGAGTAATATGATCATTCAACTTTTAATTTGGGGCTTCCCGCTTATAATATAGTATGATTACTATGGATGTTGAAAAAGAGAGATTTTCACTGGCCTAGAAACGACTCGGGTTTTACATACCAAAAGATTAATCTCTGCATCGACTAGATTTTTAGATTGTAAAAATAAGAGAATTCAGCCGTCTTGTGAGGATTCCCGACGACAGGTGATACAAGTCGTAGTTGTTGCATATCTGCTTCCGCAAAGGAGAATCCATAAGTATGCTAAACTAGTCTTTACAGTAAAATACTTCAAGATTGATTCGTGTAAACAGCGTTAACTTATTATCAATGATACCATAATTTGACTTTGAGAAATATTTGGGTCATAAAGTTTTATTTCGTATCTCAAATTGATATTTACTTTTCAATATCATAACTGATAACCTCAACATGTAATCAGCTAATTAACAAACCTTAAACGATCAAGCGAGTTGGCATATATGTTCTTCTTTTCTCTTCCAAATAAAAACTTTAGTGGCGCCAAGATTTTGAAAATGTTAGACGTTTGGTAATTTTTTCTCCGACCAAAATAAAAAATCTCATTGAAGCAACTAATCTCATGCATAAAATGCAATAGAAACAAAGGCATAGAGTGAATTACCTAATCTGAACAAGCAACGTAAGTTTCTTTATTTTGAATTGGGAATTATCGCTTATAGATAAATTCAATATAATAAACGCCTATTGATATTCAAGCCTATGTCCTTAAATTTGGTCAATGTTTTAATATCACATTAATTGGATCAATAGCTTTCTAAAATCTCAAGCTAGGCCGGTGCAAGAATGGTAGATATGCTGATGTTTCTTTGTCTAGGATTGAAAAGGAAAAACGAAAAGTGGAGATAGAGATGTGTTGTATAATGCATCTTTAATTTTACTGCTAAAATCACGTTCTTACCGGCTGGAAAAACCTTTTTATAGTAAAATTTAATTATAAACATACATATTATATTTTGCCTTTTTTGTCCATTCCCATTTATCTCTATCGCAGGTAACCATGTTATGCATTTAAACATATTTATCAATCTTTAATTAGAGGTATCTGGTTTAAGTCTTGAGAATAAAATCATCTTTGATAGAGAACACTTTACCTCCAACTGAGATTTCTTAATATGAATCCAAATTAATAAGACAGAAAGTGGTAATAGATATTAGGTGGGAAACCAAAAATAAATAAAATTAACTTAGAATATTATCGACAAGAGAATATCTCCAAACTGGAAAATTGATGATTAAAGGTTAGTAATTGAGCTTCCCAAGTGATAAAGGCAAATATTTAATTAAATAACTTTTCTTTATAAAAATGACCTATAACTTAGAACATGCAGGTTAAAAGAAAATCTTACAATATGCTCAATAATACTTATGTATATTTCTCTTTAGAGAATATCAGTTGCTTTTATTGATAATTTTCAACTCAATTTTGCGTAATGTAACTCTTAAGGACCGGTTCAAGTCAAACCTTCTATATTAAATTTCTTTGTTTACAAATTAAGAAAAAATAATAATTAGTTGCTTCAATAAAACTTGGTTTACCACTTGATGTTCAGTTATTGGAACCCGACTAATCTGGTTTCGCTGTGCGTAAAGCCTTTTAAACGAAGAAACTTTCCTTACCAATTTATTTTTTTCATTCCGAAGGTTCAATTTGAGATATCTGGATATAAAGGGATTATATCAATCTTACCACAATCCTTAATACTTTTGTTTAACAAAGTAATCATAGAAAATATCCAAGAAAAAGTTTAGGACTCGTTCTAAAAAGATAAAAGAGAATGTATTTCATTAAAAAAGCTAGACATAATTAGTTAGAAGCACCTTTGATATTGACTTGTGTGTCTTTGTGAAGCAATGCATAAAGAGAGATAGGGAAATAAAGAAATCTTTGGAAAACCATTGCTATTTTCCTCTTTCCATAAAGAAAGGGAAAAGGGACAAAATGCATTTAGAAACAAGATATAGATTACCATTATGGAACCAAAATGCTTCCACATGAATGGAAATAATTCAATCTCCCAAAAAAGTCCTATTCTAAATAGTTATCCTACAAACATGTTTAACAAAAGGAAGACTTCCAATTGAACTATATATTATTTTTTTTGCATAAATTAGATAATTCTTTTGGACTAGGTGCTCGGTATCGTATTGCGGTCCCAATTAATTTGGATTCGCGGCGCGCACAATCCAGTTTATCGGAAAAAGTCATCCAGTCTATCAGAAACAATCATCTACTCTATCAGAAACAATCTCTTTATCTTCACAAGATAAGAGTGAGGTAAGGTTTGCGTACATACTACCCTCCCCATACCCCACTTGTGAGATTATATCGGATATGTTGTTGTTGTTGTTGCCGCGCAAAGCTCATTCAAGGAGGAAACGTTCTCTATAAAAAAAATAATAATAATTCACCCTCACGATTTGAATCGAAAATCTCAAATTAAGAGTGGACGGATCATACCCGTCCAATAACAAATATCTTTTGTGGTATAAGTTTTATGATCTTATCCAACCTTTGACATAACTTTTAAGAACTTTGTTGAACTATCAAAGCTTTATCCATCTACTCAGCTTAACACTTCTATTATTTTCTTTGCTTTTTTTTTTCCCCATTTTAATATACAAAAATTGCCATTGCCGTGGGCAGAAACAATAATTTGGGAATTAGGTGCCCTCTACGTAATCAAATTAAATCAAATTAAATGTACATTCATAAAGGACAACTCTTGTTGGACTTAGCTTTATTTAAATTATTATATGAGGACTTTATATTTGCTTAGAGATATTTTGGGGGGTCTATTTTCTTTTTTTTTTTTAATTTATAAATATTTGTCCTCTTAACATGAGTGAGAGCCTTAGCGTAACTGGTAAAGTTGTTTTCATGTGATCAGGAGGTCACGGGTTCAAGCCGTGAAAATAGCCTCCTGCAGAAATGCAGGGTAAGACTGCGTACAATAGACCCTTATGGTCCGATCTTTCCATAGACCCCCCGCATAGTGGAAGTTTAGTTCACATGATTGCCTTTTGTTTTTGCATTGGTATGTTCTAATAAAAAATAACACTATTGCATTAAAAAGAATACTTTTTCCATCCTAATTTTTTTATTAATATTTGACTAGATACATTCAAGAAAGAAATAAAAACTTTAATGCTAAGATAAATACACATAACCTAAAATTCATTTCAATGAGATCCATAAGAAATATATCAGTTATTATAAAAGTATAGTAAAGTAAAAATGTTAAAATAGACATTTTAATTTTCAAATATCAAAAATATCAATATGTACATGGAAAATGCTAAAAGGTCAGCAAAGTCTATGTTGAGATGAATAAAATATTTTCTTTTAATAAACCTCAAGGCCACAAATTTAAATTAATCGAATGCTAATGACACCCGATTAAAACTAAAAAAAGGAAAAGAAAAGGTTAAAGTGGTAGAAATAAAAAATAGCTAGATTTATACATGTGGTAATTGAAAAATAGTCACAGTTTTAAAAGTAATCGAAATTTAGCCACTTTTTATGTAAAGATAAATCTGAACGAAAATACTGTTCAAAATTCGAAAAATATTCCAACATAATATACTGTTAGTTCATACACAAGTGCTCCAATCTCTAGTATATTATGCTGGAACTTTTCGCGTGTTAGAGTATACTGGAAATTCATACATATGTAAACCAATCTCCAGTATATTATGCTGGACCGGTCCGTATTGTATCAAAATAGTGGCTATTTTTCAATGACTTTATAAACGCTGTTTATTTTTGAATTACCAATCCGAAAATTAGCAATGGCATGTCATTTTTACGGCAAAAGAACAAAAACAAAAAAAGAAGTAAGTACTCATTTTCACGCACATAGTTCTATCGTGAACATCCTCCACCATATAAGGTCCAAATATTATCATTATCATTGGTTGTTGTGGCGCGTTAATCAAACGCTCGTCATTTGAGAGTAGGATTAAGATCACTCGGCGGTCATAGCTATAAACAAAAATTCTGTAACTCAGTTGAAGGAAGAGAGAGAAAAAGAAGGCAATGAAAGAACAAAGAAAGGAGAGAGAAAGTAAGAAGAGAGAGAACGAGCTGAAAAGGGTCGTTTCTTGAGCTCAAAGGGTGTCCATTTATGTGCATTTTTCAGCTAGAAATGAACTCCAAGTTTGTTGATTTTTTATTTCTATATGATTACATAGAAAAAAATATAGTTGGGTTTTAGTGCAATTAGTCATAGATCCATACATAGAAAGTAAGAAGAGAGAGAACGAGCTGAAAAGGGTCGTTTCTTGAGCTCGAAGGGTGTCCATTTATGTGCATTTTTGAGCTAGAAATGAACTCCAAGTTTGTTGATTTTTTATTTCTATATGATTACATAGAAAAAAATATAGTTGGGTTTTAGTGCAATTAGTCATAGATCCATACATAGAAAGTAAGAAGAGAGAGAGAGAGAGAGAGAGCTGAAAAGTTGGTGTCTTGAACCATAAGGGTAAGATTTTTGTGCATTTTAGCAAGAAATGAGCTCCAATTTTGCAAATATTGATTTTCTTATGGCTATATAGAAACAGTTATATAGTGGGGTATCAAGACAATTAGTCATAGGTCCATACCTAGAGAGAGAGAGAGAGAGAGAGATGAAAAAGTGGCTTCTTGCAAATTTCATCTACAAAATGAACTTGCAAATTTGCATATATTGATTTCTGTATGGGGTAGCTGTGCAATTAGTCATAGATCCATACATAGAAAATAAAGTGTGTGTAAGAGAGAGAGCTGAAAAATGTGGTTTCTTGAACACAAAGGGCAACCATTTTATTCATTTTCAACAAGAAATGCACTTCAAGTTTGCAGATATTGATTTGTATATGGCTATTTAGACATATATATAGTGGGCGTCAGTGAAATTAGTCATAGATAAATCCTTTTGGTTTCTTTTGTTTTTTTTGTTTTTAGTATCCTATTGGTTCTTTAATCTGAAGTTGGTGTTTGATCAATCTTGGAATCTTGGATTGAAATGGATAGTAATAATAATACAGCATCAGCTCAAGGACCAACACCACCAGCTGAGGAGCTGTTAAAGAAGATTAAAGAACTGGAGGCAGGTCATGCCCAGATGAAGCAGGAGATATCTAAGCTCATGATTTCTGATGATCAGAGATCACATAGACAAAGGTCCCACTCTATCTCCCCACAGCGGCCGCCTCGTCTTAGGGGTGGTGGTGGCTTTGATGGTGGTACTGCTATGTGGAAAAGGGGTTCAACCTCTTTCCGCCATTCGTCACCATTGCAAAGAGAGAGTAGTAGTAAAGGTGAGAGAGACAATGGTAATGGTGGAAGCTCTGCTGCAGTGAAATTTACTGATAGACAGTATTTGAATATATTACAGTCAATGGGACAAGCAGTGCATATATTTGATCTCAATGGTCATATAATTTACTGGTGAGTAATTGAAATGTACTTCTTATCTTTTGCCTTTTTATTTTTCCTTTCGTTCGTTAAGACTTGAGTGAGAAAAGAAGTAGGGTTGGAGAGATTGAGCTTGTGTCCTGTGATTATCTGAGTTGACTTCTTAGTTGGCTAGTCCATCGTTGCAGTATTGACCACTAGAAACTTTGTGTAAATAGGTAAGAACATTTTATTTGGCCTTAGACTTTGATTGGTGTTTGTCATGTTTGTTTAGTGTTATCAATATAGGAATGTAATTTGAGCCTTTGTTGCACAGGAATCGAACCGCTGAAAAACTATATGGTTATTCTGCTGCAGAAGCTCTTGGACAAGATCTCATTGAGCTCCTAACAGATGCTCAGGATCACGATATTGCTAATAACATTGTATACCGAGTGCTAAGGGGCGAAAGTTGGACTGGACAGTTTCCAGTTAAGAATAAGAGAGGGGATAGATTCGTAGTCGTTGCTACCGATACCCCTTTTTATGATGATGATGGTACATTGCTCGGTGTTATTTGTGTATCGAGTGATATGCGGCCTTTTCAAGAAACAGGTCTTGCATCGATGGGAGTGACGCAGTTGGAAGCTGATACAAGATTTAGAGCCAGAACCCTTGCTTCTTCCAAACTTGGAAGTGATCCCCAGCAGCCTCTGCAAGTTTCAATCGCCTCCAAAATATCTAATTTGGTTAGTACTGTCTTTGTTTGGTTAGTTGCCTGGTTTTCTTTTGCTGTCATTTGGTTTCCTTTACTATCTGTATGGTGTATACAAGGGTCGAATATGCTGACATGTCGAAACCTCATAATAGGCCTCAAAGGTGAGCAACAAGGTTAAGTCAAAAATAAAGACAGGAGAGAGCATCGTGCTTCGTGAAGGTGGAAGTGGAGATAGTCATTATTCTGACCATGCATTTTCTGAGGCTACTCTCTCAGTCTCAGATCACAGGGAGGATGCAAACTCAAGTGGAGCAAGTACGCCTAGGGGAGATGTTCACCCTTCTCCTTTTGGAGTATTCTCTGATCTTTCAAGAGATTCTGGGGATGAGGGTGAGGGCAAACAAGGGATTTCTAAGATCATCACCTTGAAGGCAGAGGCGTGGATGGCGAGGAAGAGCTTATCATGGCCATGGAAAGGCAACGAGCAAGAAGCGTCAGAAGCAAGGACTACACGATTTGTATGGCCTTGGCTAAACAATGACCAAGACAATGAGTTGAATCGCAGTAACAGTTATAATGCATTGAAACCAGAGAATCAGTTTATTGATACTAACCGGACAACCACCAATGAAGCTACTGGATCCTGGTCGTCTTCATTTAATGTCAACAGCACAAGCAGCGTTAGTAGCTTTGGAAGCACCAGCAGTAATGCTGTCAATAAGGTGGACATGGATACTGACAGTCTGGACTACGAAATCTTGTGGGAGGACTTAACAATTGGAGAACATATTGGAGAAGGTATGCTGAATTCCTTTTACAGGTGAATTGTCAAAAACAAGTCTATCAGTTATTCCAAACTTGATCATAGAATCTTTTGGTATCAGGCAAGGATATAATTTACTTTAAATTTCTATTTTCCAGCCATTATAGATGCTTCTGTTGTGCACAATAACCAGAAGTTAGTAGTCAACTGCACACGTTAATTTCACAACGAATAATCCATACCAGCTTTATAGCTATGATATTCTTATGTATTTGACAATTTTTATCGCCTTCTCTTTTACTTCTTCATTCTCACTTCCTTTTAACTGTGTTTCTCTAGGTTCTTGTGGAACTGTTTATCATGGGCTGTGGTATGGATCGGTATGTTCTTTGCCTCTTCTTTTGTTACTGTTTTTTCTTTGCCAAGAGTTTTTGGCCTCTGCCGTTCATTAAATTTCCCGCAGAAAGAATCTTATAAGCAATAATTTGTAAGTATTTCTAAACATACTACAATGTTGATTAGATGTCATTGTATAACATATCGTTTGTTCAAATATACATTTGTAAGTATCATTTGCTCCGGAAGCCTATGCCTATAGCCTGAAACACAAGGGCTAAATTCTGGCTTCTTGGTCCTCTCATATGGATGATGTCGAAGTATAAAATTTCTCTAAGCCAGTATTAGTGTTGTATATTACATGAGGTTCCTCATACACTGTTACTACTAGCTATTTTTCTAGAGGGAACACCCAGATAAAAGGTGACTGCCCTGGTTCTCCTGTGTACCCAGATGATGTCTGTATGCCTTACCTTATCCAGAAAGCATAATGATATCTTTGTTGTGTAGGATGTCGCTGTTAAAGTATTTTCCAAGCAAGAATATTCTGATGAAGTGATATATTCTTTCAAACAGGAGGTTAGTTTGTTTCTCATAAATATGTCATTAAATGCTTTCTTTTTTTCCCTGATCGAGTATTGTTTCTCCATAGAACTTTAAACTATATGACAGTCACAATGATGGACTTTCCGGTTATTTCACCTCTAATGAGGTCTTGGATTCTGGTAATGATGATGATATGAGTTGAGATTAAAGAAAGAATTGAGGATTCATATCGCCGACCCCAACTTGTTTGGGACTGAGTCATAGTTGTTGTTGTTGTAATGAGGTGTTGGATGCAGTGAACCAAGGTCGAACTCACCATTAATGCATTGTCATTATATGCCTTGAATTGTTGAAGAGGACAAAACAGGAAGATACTCACCGAGCACTAAGAAGAGCTTTTTGTTTGCTCTTCATCAATGAGATTTCTGGAAAATTTGAACTATTTTAGTGTATGAACCAGTTGGTGCAGCACTAATGCGAACAGAAATCTGCGATGAGAGCTAAATGTGTCTAAAAACAATACTGTCTTCCTAGCTCATTAGAACTGTCACAATTTATGTGAAACTAAGTCTATACTAGCACGGCAAGAGTAGTACGTTAAAAAGTGGTAAAATTATTTGTTAAATGCTAATAGAGAATCAAAGTCCTTCACCCCCCTGCCATTACGCTCCACATCACTTTTGAAGCCCTATGCACTTAAACAAGGTATACTGATTGGGAGCTGTCTGTCTTGGAGTTGTCTTGCTTGGGTCTTGGTTTGTCTGTAGAATCATATCATCCATTAGTCTGAGTGTATCTTTTGCATTCTATTAATTTCGATCAACTTCCACTTGGAGTTCCTCCTTGCTTTCTGATTTTGTATTAGAGGATAATTGCCGCAGAAAATAGTTCTACAATGAGAGGGCTCATCCATACTTCGTCTTGGGAAAGGTTCTTGTGCCTAATATTAGTGCATGGAGACTTAAGTTTAATGCTTTTTTCACTTTCTAATTAGTACAATGAAAGCATCTCTGACGGGCCTTGTGCTTACATTCTTTTGAAGGTTTCCCTTATGAAACGACTTCGACATCCAAATATTCTTCTTTTCATGGGTGCAGTAACTTCACCTGAACGCCTCTGCATTGTCACAGAGTTCCTGCCACGGTAAATCCTCTTCCTTCTTCGTACTGAATAACCTGTTCAAGTTGTTTTGCTCCTACTCCTTGTGACTGCATCAGTCTTGTTCGTGTGTAACTGATAAACCATTTCACGTTTTCCGTTATTGCAGGGGAAGTTTGTTCAGGCTATTACAGAGGAATTCATCCAAATTAGAATGGAGACGACGGGTCCATATGGCTTTAGACATAGTAAGTTCCTAGGAGATCTGTAATACCAGTTATATTAACTATTACCAAGAGTAGCATCCATTATTTTTAGCGGATTTGCCCATATCCTTTTCCTTTTTATTTTTTTGTTTGTCTTTTTTCCTTCATGTGTGACTGATCATCTAATTCTTTGTATTAGTACTATAATATTTTGTCTCTTAGGTTAACTATCATGTTTCTGTTTTGCTGCTTCTTTCAGGCTCGTGGTGTGAACTATCTTCATCATCTTAATCCTCCTATAGTTCATCGCGACTTGAAGTCTTCAAATCTTCTTGTGGACAAGAACTGGACTGTTAAGGTTTGGCTTCAGTTCATTTAACTGTCATTTCTTTCTCTTTCTTACCAATCTCCTGAATGTCTATTACTACAGAGTTTTTAGTACTTTGAAAAAATTCTCACCATGGAAATATCAATAGGTTGGGGACTTTGGTCTGTCACGTCTTAAACATGAAACATATCTAGCAACAAAGACGGGTAAAGGAACGGTATTCAGCTTGAACTCAGGAACTCTCTTTCTTACTGTATCAATATGAACTATTTTAGTTCACCTATTACGTTGTTTGAACTTCAACCGACTTATATCACTTTCTACCTTAATTCTCCTGCAGCCTCAGTGGATGGCTCCAGAAGTTCTTNTTCTATGGGAGCTTGCCACTGAAAAAATCCCTTGGGATAGCCTCAACTCAATGCAGGTATTTTCTCATCTTCCTGAGATCTCACTTGGATACATTCCATAATATTCGGTTATCTGGATTCTGGCTCAAGTTGATGAAAAGCAGTGGCATACCAGGAATTATCATAAGCGGTGTCAACAGTTGAAAAAGTGAACAAATGAATATTTTACTATTACAGCAAGCGTGTCATTTTTATATTTGTACCCAATATTTTTATTTTTCTTATTATCTATACATACATATTTACAAAAAAGATTTGACGAAGACAAGGTGCCTACGCCCCTGGTGAAGAGGGCCCCGCTCCTTATGCATACGAAAAGTAAAAGATAAAAATGGATAATTTTTCATCATATTATGGTACATAAAGAACAACTTTTTGGAGTTGATTGCAGGTGGTTGGAGCTGTAGGATTCATGAATCAGCGGTTAGATATCCCGAAGAATGTTAATCCACAATGGGCTTCTATAATTGAGAGCTGTTGGCATAGGTTTGCATCTTTGTTCATTCTGCCATCATAATTTGTTTTGTTGAAGAAAATAGCTGGTTAATGTTGTGTTCACATTATTCTCCGTTTTCATTGTGCCGGGCCTTATTTACTGGGGTTATTGTTATTGCTTTTCATGTATTTTCCGGTTCTTATGATGCTATCATTATTTCTTGGTTTTCTGTTGATGGTACTGATATAGTGTTTCTTTTCATCGTCTTGAGCCGAGGGTCTTTCGGAAACCTCTCTACCCCTCGGGTAGGGGTAAGGTCTGCGTACACAGTATACACTATCCTTCCCAAACCCCACTTGTGGGATTTTACTGGGTTGTTGTTGTTGAAACAATTAGCCTTATGATGAATATATTGTCATGTCAAAAATGTGTGCCGAAGATTATGAATTATTCTTATTATCGGAAGGAAAGCGATAATCTAAACACATTAGATAGCGCATAAATCGTAAAACGAGAACTTGTTCTTCGTGAAGCGGAAGCGAAAATCTGAAACGAACCGCGGCTAGAATCATTAGTCGGTAGTGGTTGTCACAGTGTGTTGGAGCAACCCCTATTCCACAGTCTAAACCCTACTCTCACTTTAGGAGAAGACTAAGCGTAGGAAAATACTGTATTATGTATTTCTAGAAGTATACCATATGTGTACTTATATAGGGATAGCTAGGGTTACAGTAATTATTAAAATTACTGGGCTTTGACCTAGTGGGCCCTAAGAGCACCCCTTATAGGTGGACTCTATTTCCTACATTATCTTATGGAGAACTTAAGTTATAACGGAATAGTCCTTAGCAAACCAGACTGATGTCCGGGACATTGAAGTTTTTAATATGGTTAGGGATGAAACCATTTTAGGAAAAGGAGGTTGGAGTCCAATGCATTTTATTTAGAAGTGACGAATAAGTGTTATTGGCTGAATATGATTCTCTTGACTAAATTTTTGGGTAAGCTTATCCAATGACTTGATCAATTTGGCTGCAACCATTAATTTTTTTCTATTACTACGGCGTTGGGGTCAGCTTGTGCAGCTCGACTATTTCCGACTACCTGCCACCCTCCACCAGCACAGGGTGGTACTTTACCTACCAAACTTAGTCTAGGAAGAAATAACATACTTTTTTTTGTTTATACTGGAATTTGAACCCTTATCTCTCATGGTCTTCACCTACTTCGTTAGATGCCACGTCACTCCCTTGGATGCGGCAACCATTTTGCTTTTAGTCACGTTAACTTCACTCATCATTTGAACTGAACTGCTATCTTACTGATAAAAAAAACCATCTTTTCAACTGAGCTGATAACGACCTTACTGTTTTGTCCAACTCAGTGAGCCACAGTGCCGACCTTCATTTCAAGAACTAGTGGAGAAACTTAAGGATTTGCAGAGGCAGTATATTATTCAGGCGCAGACAGCACGTAACGCTGGAGGAGATAGCAGCCAGAAGGAACAGTAAATACATTTGTGCTCGAGTTTCATCTGATGATTACTAGCAGATGCATTGCTAACTCTTCAAAGTTTTATGGCTGTCGCATGAAAGTTTGTCACAGTACACAAATGGCTTGTGTTGTCGGATCCTAATTTCAGAGTAAAAAATGACAGGATGGCTGTTACTAATTACAGGGAAGTCTGGTAGAGAAAAAGCAGCTGCTCTTTATTGGATTAGTCGAGTCAGTCGGTAACTACATGAGTCTAACATGATTCTGTTCGATGGATTCACAGTTTGCATCGTTAAATATTTTGTGGTGAAGTGAATTCGGCTTGAAATCATTGTGGGTTTTATATGGTTAAGGCATTCAAATACTTGTATATTGAGTGAAAAATTAGTGTTCAAGGTAGCAAGTCTTAGAAGTTGTTGATTTTCTGATCTTGTTGTTGCTCCTTTGACCTTCGCGTAGTTGGTAAAGTTGCCGCTATGTGACCAGGAGGTCACGTGTTCAAGTCGTGGAAATAACTTCTTGTAGAAATGACTGGTAAGGCTACGTACAATACACCCTTGTTCCCTGGACCCTACGCATAGCGGAAGCCTAGTGCATGTTGCTCCTTTGAATGCAACCTTTAATTTAGTTTGTCTAGGGGACACCACACAAGGCAGTGGTCAACTAAGTGATGGCACTATTTTTAAGGCTCCATTGAAGTTAAACGAGGTTGAATCTGTAACAAAGACCCTCGTCATCCAAGTACCAACCTAAAGCATTTGGGGCTTCAGTATACGTTTTCTGTTTTTTTTTACCTGCAACCTTACACCAGTACAAGCACCGGCCAAATCTGAATGCAAAAAGTCCTCCAAGCATTATTTTGGTCTGCTGGAATTTTTACTTAATTTCCCATGATATTGACCTACATTATTGATCCCATGGTATTTCACATATACTTCACAACATTTCAGCGTAGTTCTATTCCAAAAGCTGAATATGGAATGGAAAAAGGGCAACCTTAGCTATCAAGTCCTAAGATAACCAAGATTTCCCTCAAACTAGCTCACACGTTTAATTTTTCACTTAAGTATTAGGAATGACCAATCGACGTAGCATAAACATTTGATAGTCTCTTTGTTAATACATTTCAGAATGAAAACAAAAATTTCTCTTATCTTTTGCATTACATTAATTCAGCAAATGCCTTATTGCAGCTACAGCATCACCTTTATGCTCTCTCAAAGTCCTTTCAGCAACCTTCTTGTCAACCTATTCCACAATTAAAACAACATGAGACTCAAAATAAACCAAAAAGAAACAATAGGTGTAGATGTAAGAGGAAACCAACCTCTAGTTCATTTGCAATTATATCAATATCAGCAGCATTGATCTTAACAGCAGCTAGTTCCTTTTCCCTGTAATAAACACAAATTCTTGATGTCATCTAGTTTATCAAGGACTATGAGACTTCACAAGTAGGGGCGGATTTACATTGAGTAAAGTGACACCGCTTCCACATGACACCGCTTCGTCGGGAAAATTTAACTAAATATATATATCGAAATAATATCTGAGCAGTTAAAAGTGATAAAAAGTAATAGATGACACCACTTGACAAACTCATCCTTTTGGTCCAGCAGGATAGATGCCAGCTTATATCATGGATGTTAGGGATCGATCTTCTGTGCTGTGTTTTTCTTTTAGCAAATTAATTTAATTAATTTCTGAACTGGTTCAGCTTTACTTTTTGGCTTCAATATTTTTTTCTTTTTTCTTTCCTTCTTTGTCTTAAATATTTTTTTCCTTCTTTGCCTTTCTTTTTGAACATTAATGTCAATTACATTAATACTTCTAAATTGCCTTTATTATATGATCTTGTTTCAATGATTTATTTATGTGTCTATTTATTTAGATACGACACCACTTACGAACAATCTTGCACAAGGCACTGTTCACAAGAAGCATTAGAGACACTATCAGAATAGGAAAAAGACGCTGAAATAGATTCAAATGCTAAGTCACATATGGAAAGGTAATATCAATGTTAATATGACTTCATAAAAAATTATTGCTGTTTATATGAATGTCATATACTGGTGTCTAATATGTTTTTTTTTTCTTTGCGGATCTGAGAGACAATGGACTAAATCTTAGTGGATCGTGGCAGCAGTTCCACTCTACTGTTCTGCCACTCTATCAATTTCAGTTTGAGCATCGTACTTGAAACAAATGAACTCATATTCACTATTTTGTTATTTCCATGATTGAGTAGTAGCTCTTCATTTCCCTCCAATGCACGTATTATAAGTATGAGAAGACATCTCAAACAAATTCACTTATTTATTTTGGATTAAGTCAATGTCCCTTGCACATATCAACTAAGTCCATGTGAAAAAACTTGTGGACTTCAAACTCATCTAGGTGGTTTGGTCATGTTAGGAGGAGGAGCACAGACGCCTCAGTGAGGAGGTGTGAGAGGTTGACATTGGAGGGCCTACGGAAAGGTAGGCCAAAGAGAAGTGGGGAGAGGTGATAAGGCAAGACATGGCGCAGCTTCAGCTGACCGAGGACATGACCCTTGATAGGAAGGTATGGAGATCGAAGATTAGGATAGTAGAGTAGGTAGTCTAGAGTGTTCATAACAGTAGTATTGGCACACAGTCTCGCTTTATGTTGGTAGTAGGTTAACCGTTGTTTTTTTTATTGTTGATCACCTTACTGTCTTGTTGTTTTTATTCTGCTTTTATATGGCTTTTTGGTACTGTCCCTTCTTGTCTATATTTTCATTAATGTGGTGCTTATATTTTTCTGAGCCAAGGGTCTATTGGAAACAACCTCTCTATCCTCACAAGATAAGGGTAAGGTTTGCGTACACACTACCCTCCCCAAACCTCTACAGCGTGGGATAATACTGGGTATGTTGTTATTGTTGTTGTTGACCTTTAAATATTGAACTATCACTATAGTAATCTTAAATTTTTTAGGTTTCTTAATTGTAGGTTTACAAGACTTTTTCACACAATTCAAGATGCATATACTTAAAACTTGATATTATCGTTCACTGGTTTTTTTTATTACGATTTGTGCAATTGATATTTTGATGCGGCAGATTTAGGTACCAAACAATCATGTCCTCGTGTCCAATGGACATGATTTATTCGAGATCAATTGTTGGGTTCAACTTTCAATTAAACGTATCAATTTTTTAATAATAGCAACTCGGATGAAGTCGAAATATACGTATTTGATTTTACCACCTGTTAATATTAAATGAAGATTTTTTCTTTTGAATAACATTGTAATTACAATCAATTTTGGGAGTTCCAAAGAAAACCCATTCAAGATGGGACTCAATTCTTTAACTTAACCAAAAATAGTAACGCTAAAAGTTTCAAAGCAATATTTCTGTTGGGACTGATTTCCTTCCGTTATGTAACCACTAATTAAAACATAAAGTTCCGAAGTCAAACTTTATTTTTGTACGGGCTAACTTAAGCAACGAGTAACTAAAACTACTAAGCTCTAAAGTAAAAACATTTTGTAGTGGAATTTAAAATACACAATTTCTTTCCTTTTTCTATTTGAACTATAATCCTTTTACGAGTCATGTATTTATTTATTTGGTGTAAATATTCAATAAAATAAATTCTTACCTAATTTTATATTGGTATTTCATTACCAAATTACTTCATTATATTTTCTTGTGTGTTTCTTCTCTATGAATACTAATATCTGGTACACCATTTCCTACAACTGACATTAGTGTTTCATCATAATGGAACATTCATGCGTCATAAGAGAACATACACGAAAATATTTATTTACAAAGAAGTACTTATTAGGTAATAAAGATACGAATTAGTACATATAATATCTAGCATAACTTAATAATATTTATCTCTGTTTTAAAAGGTGTTTCTGGGGCGAGCCCTGGGGCGAAGTGTACCAAAAACGCATCGGGACGATGCTGTGGGGCGAAACTCTCAAGAGGTGTACGCCCGGGCGTTCGGGGCGCGTTCTTTTAGTAAGGAGTAAGCCCCAGAGACTTTTTCAAATTAAAACAAAATTTATTGAATTAGTCCTTCATATAATACCCAAATTCTCAAAAGTCAGTTTGGTAATTACTCAAAAGGTTTAAAAAGGAACTCAAATGTATTAAATTTAAAAGTAAAGAACTTTTTTATTGATTTAAGCCTTATTCATGGTTTTTCCAATTTTTTATCTTGTCCGCTAGTATGCTAATATCTCCCAAAAGCAACGAATATTTAATTTTTTTTACAAATACAAAGAGAACTACATTTTTCTTCATAGCAACAAATTCAAAGTTCAAATTGCAGGTTAATCATCCTTTTTGTTCTTCCATATAGAAAACTTTATTCTTTTAGACTCAAATTACTTGTACTTGTAAGTAGCGTATAATAGATTGTTTTGATTAGTTTTTTTGTGGGGATGGAACACACATATATATAGTTTTCTTCAATTTTTATGCAATTTTACCTGTTTATAAATATTAACTGTCATTATATTATTTTATAAAATATTAAAAATTAAATACCTTTGGGGCTTACGCCCCGCCGAGGCATATATAAAACGCCCCGCCTTACGCCCACGCCTTTTAAAACACTGATATTTATAGGCTCATACGATGTCAAGTCATTTCGATTTCAAGTATATATATTTGAATGTAATAACATTTTTTCATTATTGCATTTTCTTCCACATTAATTGTTACATTTATATAAATAATATCTTCATAAATTTAATTTATTTTTCCACACGAATAACTAAGGCAAGATTTTGATACACTGAATATGTACGTACAATTGATAACGTGCAAAGCACGTTCATAGAAACTAATATTTAAAAAAAAGAGGAAATAACTTATGAATTTACTTCAAAGTTCAAATGATGTGATTCTTGTATTTGTTTCTGAGTGATAGAAACTATCTAAGACTTAAGAGTCAAACCCATCCACCAACTTTCCAACTACCAAGATTTGAAAAGGCTATAGCCTAATTATTAGCGCATCAATTTTAAAATATAATTTACATGGTTATAATCTATATAAGAGATACTACAAATGAGAAATTTCTAAAATTAAAAATATTTGAAACAGCCATTGTTAATGAAAAAAAAACTATTTGACTCTCCAAATTGTAATTCTCAAGATTCTCTCATTCTTTAGCACAAGTAACTAACCTTATCCTAAATTACACACCCATCCAACCCCTATCCCCCAAAAAAAAAGAAAGAAGAAAAGCAGATCTCATCCTAAAGAACAGCTTCCTTATTGATTCCATAGTTAATAATTCGTGAAATTTTGTGAAAATTCAAAAGCAGAGTGATCCATCAAAAGTGTACATTATGGTTAATTTAAAGTTAAATATACTTAATCAGATATGAGGACTAAAATAAAAAAAAAATCAATATTTCAGGGACTAAAAGTGAAAATTTCCCTTAATTAGTGAACAAACCTCATCCTCATAGCTTGAAGATCAGCTTCTTTGGATGCATAAATTGAAGCCATAGCCTAAAGGCACATTTTTTCAGAATTAAAATATAGCCAAAAAATGTCAATAAATACATAAATAGATATACTGAAGCAAATTCGAAATTGCATCTATTCGAGTAAAAAATGAATTTTGATGTGAAAAAATGTTACCGTTTGAACACGAGAGGAATCGAGCTGACGATCTTCGACATGGTCAGTGAGCTTATCTAAGGCTTTGCTTTGCTGCTGCAAATCCTTTGAGTCCACCATCTCTAGCGCTTCATCTCCAGCTTCCATTTTTACTTTTTTTTTGCTTTGCCTTTCAGATTCTGTTTCAGTTTTGTAGAGTGGAGAAGAAAGTGTTTCCCATTGTAATTGGAGCCCTAAGAATTTGTTATTCCTTGGGCCGGATCTGGTATTTGGGCTTTGAAAAGGTTCTTTTGGACTATTGTTGAACTTTGAGGTGTAATACTAAAACATTTGCAAAAATAGGATTTTGAGAGTTTACGTTTAAATTGTGGCCATGATTTTATAAAGTTTTGCAGATATATGACCAATTGGCATAAGGGAGAAATTCAAAAATAGCCATATTTTCAAGTGGTTATTCAAAAATAACCACAGTTTTCAAAAGTAATCGAAATTTAACCACTATTCATGTAAAGATAAATTTGAACGAAAACACTATTCAAAATCCGAAAAATACTCCAGCATAATATACTGGAACTCCAGCATAATATACTGGAGTTCTAGTATAATATACCGGCCCAGCATAATATGCTGGAAGTTCATATACAGGTGCTCCAATCTCTAGTATATTATGCTAGAACTTTCCGCGTGTTGGAGCTCCAGCATAATATGCTGGATTCATACACAGGTGCACCGATCTCCAGTATATTATGTTGGAACTTTCTGTGTTGCAGAAAAATAGCGACTATTTTTCAATGACTTTGCAAATGCTGACTATTTTTGAATGGTCAGTCCGAAAACTGGCTAACCCGTGCTATTTTTACGTGGCATAAACACACTATCAAAATCTACTTAAACATGGTACAAACTTAAATGGTAGCCTAAAATGATCCTATTTGTGCAAATCTTCATGCAATACTTAACTCATGATTGCTTCAATAGAAGCTTATTAGAAGTTACTCTTCGATTTCATTTTATATAATAGTATTTGGCTTGATATAAATTTTTATTTATAGATAATATGAGTTATACTATAGAAGAATGTATTAAAGTAATACCCCATTTGTTTAATTTATATATTAACATACATATAATAAATTGTTGTAAAATCTTCGACTTATCAAAGAGTTTCAATCATACTAAATAAAAATACTAGAATTTATTATATACATTGAAGCAATACATTGCAATTTTACCTTATAGAATAGGTTATCAAGTTATCATATCATGTTTATATGAGCATGTCTGTCAGTTATATGCTAAACCTGATAATGTAAAAATTGTATAAATCGCCCGTATATCGAACTTAAACTCATGTATATCACTATATAATAAACATGACTAATCCTTTTATACAAAATTAATGAGCTTCTTTTTCCATTTTTCCTAATCGAATACTTAGTTATTGGAGCTAGGGTGTTTACACTAACTAAAAAGACATCCCGATGCACTAAGCTCCCGCTATGCGCGGGGTCCGGGGAAGGACCGGACCACAAGGGTCTATTGTACGCTAACTATTTCAATAAATTAAAAGTTTAGCCAGAGACATCATAAAACACAACTACAATATGCACTTCAAAGCTGGACCCGTTTTTGTGTAGTTTGAGGTGATCCGAAAACCGTGTTGTCAAACTTCTGTATTAAATGATCAATTTTAAAGCCAAGCTGGAAGCCATTCCTTGCCTTGGATGAAATCTACGGAGAGGAATGGCATGGCTTCTTTGTCATTCAGTTGCTTTGACCATGGGGCACGACCTTCTGTACCAGACCCTGGTCCATAGCACTTGTATTCAGCATGATATAAATTCCTGCACCAAATTACATTATTAGAACTAGTCGGGTTCAGAATTTAAATTCTTATCATTAAATTTAAAAAAATTATAGGTTCAAAATTTAATATTTATTAAAATTTTAGTAAACTTTTACATATATTTATTCTTCATGTCAAGAAACTGAGTTCAGTTGAATCCAACAAAACCAGACTATATATATTTGCCTCTAGTTAGTATAATTGGGTATTAAGTACCACTATCTCAAATGTTTTATTCAAATAATGTGTTCCAACTTATTTGTTGGTAAAGTTGCTGCCATGTGATCAGGAGGTCACGGGTTCGAGCCGTGAAAATAGCCTCTTGCAGAAATATAGGGTAAGACTGCGTACGATATACACTTTTATTCCGGCTCTTTCCCAGACCCAGCGCATAGCGGGCGGAAGCTTAGAGCACCGGACTGCCCTTTAATGTGTTCTAACTTAGCAAAAGCATATAAGACTTAGGTTTCAGGACGAGAGAATCTTATAACACGAGCGGGGGTGTATCCAACTCTTTGGTACTGAGTTCATCTGAACCCACTTCTTTCGACATGAAACATCAATTTAGGTGTAAAAATTACTAAAATTACAATAAATAGTTGATATGAACACATGACTTTAACAAGATAATGAGTTCAATGCTAAAAATCTTAATGGTTGAACCCATAAAGTTTAAATCCTGGATCCGCTTCTGAATAGAAACGATAGTAACCGATCAAGCCATTAAACTTTAGTCGTCATTTTGTTCAAAATGGATGCAAGCAGAATCAAGGAAGGAGAGCCTTGGCGTAACTGATAAAGTTGCTACCATGTGACCAGGAGGTCATGGGTTCGAGCCGTGGAAACAAGCTCTTGCATAAATGCAGGGTAAGACTGCGTACAATATATAGGCTCTTATAGTCCGACCCTTCCCTTGACCCCGCGTATAGCGATAGCTTAGTGCACCGGACCAGATGCAAGCGAAATCAACAGGCCACTACATTAACGGCTCATAAATTATATATGTTCGTCCGTGACCAAGTAAGTCTAATTAGAGCTTATTAATGTATTTAATTTTTTTTATTTAAGATATGAAAAGTTTGTCTTACTTTGTTGATCCTGGAGAGCTCCAATTAGTCCAACCTTGAGGTACAATTGTCTTAGACAAATAAGTATGTGCAAAAATGACCCTGGAATAAGCCCCTTTGGCTCTTCCTAAGTACACACCTCCAATTCCATATACTTTTCCTTCTACAAACACAAAACCACTGTTTTCTTTGGCACTATATCTACTTTGTGCTGTCACAGAACCATGAATCTCTACTCTTCTATCTGCAATTACAAATATCTCACAGCTCTGCAACCAAAAAAAAAAAAAGTAGATACATTTAAATCTCTATGAGAATTATAAATTAATAACTTGGTAAAAATAGTAAGTAACGTACGATCCCAGGTGATAAACATCTCACGATTTTTCTCAAAAGGCCTCGTACTACAAAGAGAATTTCACACCTTATATGTAGCTTCCCAATTTTTTTAGCTACCAATATGAGACTTTGTTCACACACCCAACAATAATTATTTTTAACCAAAAAAAAGAAGGAAAAAACTCGATCAAATCTACATTTATGGGTAGTTGTTCAGCATCTTTTTTCACCATTGTATTTTAACTGATTTCAATTTCTACACTGATAAACTGTCCTTAGAAAAGAATATTTGTAGGTCATCTAAAAGATAATTATAAATAAGTTACTTCTTGCAATAGTTTAAAATTTAATAATGTAATAATTAGTTATACTGTAAATATATATAAGTTAATAATTTGTGAGCATAAAGCAAAGGTTGTAAACTCACATGAAATAAAGATTGGCCACGGCCAAAAATGAAGTCTATGGAACCTTGAATGTAACAATCATCATAATAGTGTCTGCCTTTATAGTCAAAGAGAGTGTTGTGAGAACTCAAAAATGCACAATGATAGAAGGCAACTTTGTCTGCTCCCACCAAAGCTGCTACTGATGACTTGTTTTGTGAGGTAGAAGTTACACCATTAAGTGCTTGATTCTAGCCAAAGATCAAGTTCATAATAAACAAGATTAGAAAAACTTTCAAAAAATGTTAATGTAACAACACATTTATATTTTAGACAAGTTACGTTACGTAGGCTGCTTATATCACAACCCTTGGAGTGCGAACTTTTTTCGAACCTTGCATGAACGTGGGATATTTCGTGCACCGGACTGCCCTAGGCAGATATATGTATTTGATACGACGAAAGTCATTTTTCAGTAAAATAGGGTATTAAGCATGGTTGCCAAACATGTTTTTCCTTTTCTTTTCTAAAGATAACATTTTCAATCAAAAGAGATGTAAAATAACTTCCCTCGCTTATGGACGGAAGCTATTTTCCTTACAACAATTTTTAACTTTTAATTTCGTATTTCTTGCTTCAACCGGGACTTAGCTGGCCATTATTATCAAATTTTTGTTAGTACGCAAAATTTTCATTATAACACTATGTGATTTGCTAATATTTTTATCAATCTCTAATATTTTCTATAAATAAAATGACTTTCATCGTATCAAACATACAATAAGCTTAATGTTTAATATAGTAGTATGATGGCAAAAAAAATTGAAGAATATAATATGAGGATGGATAGGAAATTATTATACCTTGAAGCTAATGCCAAAGGCAACGAAATTAGGAGCTTCAACTCTGAAAGTAGCAGACTTGGAGTTGTCTGTGGAACTTTCTGCCCATACTATGGATGTTCTTCCTTTTCCATTGCCTCTCATGAAAATGTATGGCTTCTTTAGAGGTACATGAACTTTTTCTCTGCAAAAATATATAAAACACAATCTCAAACAAATTGATCCCTAGTTTTATATTTATGTTTTAATATGATAATCAAGGGACAAGTTTCTTTCGTTTTCTTTTAGACATTTACTAGTTATAAATGTACGAAGGTGAGCTTTAGAACAACGATAAAGTTATTTTCGTGTAACCTATATCAGGGGTTCGAGTCGTGAAATCAGCCACTAGTGCTTGTATTAGAGTAGGCTGTCTACATAATGCCCCCTTAGGGTGCAGCCCTTCCCTGCACCATGCGTAAACGCAGAATACTTCGTGCACCGAACTATCAATGTATGAAGAACATAAAGCAATTTTATGCTTCAAGGTGTCGCATAGCGATTAATAAAGTGAGCAAAAATTATGAAATACCCAAGGGTTCAAATACCACATAAAAGTAATGTGATAAATTTATCATACGTACAAAGTTAGGTAGACATATTTATTCTTTGTTCGTACCGATAAAGGTACATAAGTATTCGGTGAAAAAATCGAGGTGTGCGTAAGCTTATAAGATACTACCACTAAAGAAAAAAAAATATTTAGCGCAATTTTCTTGCAGTGAATTAACCAATATACCTATAGGTCCCTTTTCTGACATGGATAATAATCCAATCAGAATTCCCATCTGGAACTGAATTAATTGCAGCTTGAACAGATTTAAAATTCCCTTGGCCATTAACATCTACTATTATTGTACGATTGGTGTCAATCTTCTCTGTCAAAAGAGGAGAATCAATCACATTTTTCACAGACAAACCATGAACAAAATCCAAGCAAATGAAAAATATAACAAGGAAAATGGCCCAAATTGCAACGTTAATATTCATCTTAAAGAATGTTGAAGAATTTTGAAAGGAAGATAAAGGAAAATTGTCAATAGTACATAGTTAATTTCTAAGTTTACTTCATTTCCTAAGTAGATTGGATAAGATTAAGATTAAAGATTGAAGATTGTTGGAATTTGCTAATTTGGCGCATTAAAACTGGTAAAACTTAATTTTTTCTATCTATGTTAGAGGACCTCCAAAGGATTCTTTTGTGGTTGAGATGAAATTGTATAGCACTATGCAAGTTGGAATTTTTGATGGTTATTATTGTTTGTAATTTTAACTGCCTATATAACTTTTTCATTAAAAAAATCAATCATTTTATCCTTACATTTTTTTCTCTTTCATTTTATACTTTAACATACTAACTACATCCATATAAAAGAAAACAATAGTAAATGTTTTGTGTATATAGTGAAAAGTCTTGAGATCTTAATTAATTAACTAGAAGTCAAGTGCTCAGCAACAATTGAATTTAAATTGTGCAATGGTATTCCCTTTTACCGAATAAAACTATTAAAAATAAAACTGATATATATACAACGTACATAAGTAAATCTACTTTTATCCCTTAACAACTAATTTTTGAAGTTTTAGTACTATTATAATATTCAACTAGATCAATTTTTTGAAGTTTTCTCTTTTCTACTAGGACTAGGATATATGTTGAAGCACAAGTACAAAAAATATGTATGTTACATTTTATGACGTGCATAATTTTAAAAAAAAACATTAAAGTAAACCTATTATAACGCGACTTTAAATTTCTTTACAACTAGAGGTAGACTCACGATTTGAATGTGGCGGGAGCACATGAGTGAACAACTCAACCAATATTCCCATCAGACATCAGACTTTTGATCTTAAAGGTTCGAAGCAAAATAAATGACCGTTCTCAATATATATTCACTTATATATTCAGAATCTTTGCCGAAATTAACGGATTTCGGTGACCCCTCTTCTACAAGCATAAGTTTGCCTCTATTTACAAGTCTAAATTGAAACACTACATCGATATCACTTGCACAAATTTTGCGTATGTAGCTAAATATACATGCGATTATGTTATTAAATTTTGCGTATGCCACTAGATATACTTGTGATTATATGATTAAATTTTGNATATATATATGTGTGTGTGTGTGTGTGTGTGTGATTATGTGATTCTAATCCATGCTCATTGAATGTGCACATTTTGAGTACAAAGATAAAGTGTGTGATTTTGGTCAAGCTCAACTTACACGGCACTCCATAACCATATTTGTTTTAAGCTTTTGCTTCTTAAAAGACTCGCAAATTCTCAACAATTGCTAAAAATCATTTAGAAATCTAAAGAAGGCAATAAAAAGGTAAATGTTTGATTTCTTTAAATAATGACGAAGAATTATGGAGAGACTTGTCAATGAAGCAAGTCCAATACTTCCTTTTTTGCCTTTTCTTTTGCTCCACTTTTTCCTTTTCCATTATTTTCCCCCTTTTTGAGGACCAAAATGAGAGTCTAAAATTAGAATGATAAGACACTATACTTAAGAGCCCTTTGGTTTAAGGTCTTAGGTGTGTTATTTTTGTATAAATATTTGGGATTAAATTTATTCCGTATTTGGTTGTAAGTATTAGTTAAATTAATATTTTTTTATACCATAATTTTGGCATAATTTATCTCAAATAAAAGGTGGGATAAGTTATTTAGGTTTTAATTGTAATTTTAATCCCAAAATTATAATTTTGGAATAAGGTTTTGAACCAAACAATCCCTAATACTTTGACTCGTAGTAGAGTTTTATGTGTACTAGGATTTCTAAAGCTACACGATATTTTACCTAGAAGAACAAGAACTCTTTATGGGGATGGAACACGATAATTAAATAATAACTCATATTAACTCATTAATACTTTTCAATTATCAGTCTTTAATATCGGATTACTGAAGAAGAATAAGAAGAGAAAGAAGTTTGACAAGGCTTTAATTTGCGTGTAATAAAAAAAACAAGCATGGCTTCTGCTTCAGGTACCTTTTCTTTTCTCTTTTACCAGAGTTTTTTTTATTTTTAGTATCACATTCAAAGCTCAATCAACTATCCATTAAGTGTCGGCTTGGAGCCTTGGGAACAGAAAAACTCTGGATTAGTCGGGCTCAATGCGGATGACAACATGTGGATAGCCAAAAAAAATATATGTCTCAATTTCAAACTAATTGGGGTCGATATGATTCCTCTATATTTGTTTGTAAGACATGAACATAGTAATATTCACCTTTAACAAGAGGTCTTGGTTCGAGCCAAAATAGAAAAATATCCTAGTAGAGTGTTTCCTCTTTAATGAGAACGTGGCGCGCATCTAAATTAGTCGGAACTCCAACATGGGCATTGGACACCGGGTGGTAAATAAAAAGAATTTATGTAAATCCTGTTTTCGCAGCACTCTTTTTTACAAGAAGTTTTCTTTTCTTTGTTGTTTGTGGAGAAATATTTGTAGCGGATTTTTCTATTAGAGTATTTCTTGTTCAATTATAGAGAGGCTCGGTTATAATAGAGTGAATAGATATGTCTTTTCTTTCTTTAATGGATATAAATAAGATGCCTTTTTTGTTTTAGTAATGGGAGTGATATTTTTGTATTTCCTGATTCTTAGATTTTTATTACTACCTAATTTATTTATGATTCGATTTTATTATTATCTTGTTGTTGCTACTTTCTCTATACTGTTGTGATTATGCATACAAGTTTAAAGGCGAGGGTCTATCAGAAATAACTAGAGGCGGATCCAGGATTTTAAGACGATGGGTGCACCAGAGGCGGATGCAATGCATGTGTACCGGGTTCAACTGAACCCATTACTTTTAGCGTGGAGCATAAATTTATGTGGAAATATTTTATTAATATTGCAATATATAACAATATGAACCCATAACTTTAAAAATACAATGTTTTCAATGCTAAAAACATTAGAGATTATACCCACTCTTGGGTGCATTAGTATATCTAGAATTTACATTTGACGGATTTAATTTTAGACTTTTACCATGAATCACTACACTTCTGAAATTGTAGGTTCAAAATTATTCTTTTTGATTCGTGCCGAAAATAAGACCGTCCGAAGTAAGATTTAAACCGCTAATTTTACTTGTAAAGGTGCATCCAGTAATTTCGTACCATATGAGTATTTAAGCATGAGCACACATACATATATTTAAGTAATTTTAACGAAATATAACATTGTTATACATGGTTTAAGAAGAGGAGCATGAGTTCACGTGAAACCATACCCCTTAACCTAGATACGGTCTTGTAAAAAGCCTTTCTACCTGCACAAAGGTAGGGGTAAAGCTGCCTACTTACTACCCTCCCAGACCCCACTTGTGAGATTACACTGAATTTGTTGTTGTAGCCTTTTTTTTGTTTTGTAAGCCAGATTGATATGCTTTGCTTTTGAAAAACTCTGTTTGTGCTCATGTTACAATATGTTGGTAATAAATGATTTCTGTTATCCCAATTGATTTTCTAATCCTAGTATTTGTTAAGCAGGTGAGGGGCAAAAGATCCAGTTCCCACATTTTGATGTAGTTTCAGATGAATCAGACCACTACTACCTCAAAACAAACCAATCCAAAAAGGCAAAAAATAGTTTCAAAGATGCAAACACTTCTACCTGCAGAAGCATTATGAAAGAATGGAAAATCCTTGAGAAAAATCTCCCTGAATCCATTTATGTTCGCGCTTATGAGTTGCGAATGGATCTGCTTCGAGCAGTGATTATCGGTGCTCCTGGAACTCCTTACCACGACGGACTCTTCTTCTTTGATATCGTGTTTCCTTCAGATTACCCGAGACATCCTCCCAAAGTTTACTATCTGTCTCGCGGCTATCATATGAATCCTAATCTTTATACTAATGGAACAGTTTGTTTGAGTCTTATTAATACTTGGAATGGTAGCAATCAGGAAATGTGGACACCTACAAAATCATCAATCCTTCAGCTTCTCGTTTCGATTCAGGGGCTAGTACTCAATTCCAAACCTTACTTCAACGAGCCTGGACACGAAAAATATAACACGTCTGAGAGTTGGAAGAATACTTCTTTAGCTTACAATGAGAAAGTGTTCATTTTGTCTTGCAAGACAATTTTATGTCATATTCGTACGCCTCCAAAGAATTTTGAAGCCTTTGTCTATGAGCATTTTCGCGAACGCTGTGAATTCATATTGGCAGCTGTTAATGCTTATAGTGATGGCAAAGCAATTGTTGGTTATTATCAAGGAGATAACCAGACATCGTCTCGAGTTAATGTGTCTGCTGAGTTTCAGAGAAATTCAAAGAAAATGTATGCTGATTTACAAAAAGCTTTCAAGAAGTTTAGTATTTCAAGTCCAAATCAGGTGGAGATCAAACCAAAGGAACCAGCTAAGAAGAAGAAAAGGAAAAATGAAGAAAACTCAAGTGGTCTAAAGCCAAAAGTAGCAAAGGAAAAACCTAAAGGTGGAATTATGCAGAAAGTAGTAGGCTTTATAAAGCACATTTTTGAATGAGAGAATTAGTTTTATGTTCTTACATTTCAATATGCTGGAAATATTTTGCACCAAATGGAACATTGACTTAGATTTAGTTGTCATTGTCTGTCTTATACTCAAGATTTACCTTGTTTTTGGTACATTATTGGTTATGAAGTCTGAGTTTGTGTTGTTTTCCTAGTTATTTTCTTTCCTTGATAGAGAATTTCTTGCCTCTCAGCCACCCAAAACCAGGTATCTGTATTTAGACTTTTAACTATGTAGTGGCTGAGATCACTGACGTACCCAGAATTTTATTTGTGTAAGCGTTGTGGATATATTATCTGCCATTCGGTTTGAATATATGAGTTTAGGTCAAGGGTTGTGGGGGTTTTAAAGCTTTTAATCTTATTCTAAATTGACGTTTATTTTGCATTATCTTTTAAAGTGTTGTTGACTTATTATATATATACATCAGTGTTAGGGCAGCCCGGTACACTATACTCCCGCTATGCGCGAGATCCGGGGAAGGGCCACACCACAAAGGTTCATCGTATGCAGCCTTACCCTACATTTCTGCAAGAGGCTGTTTCCA